AGCCAGCTCGGGCGGCCGAGGTAAGTTGCGCGCGGGGCGGACGCGGGGTCGCGGGCTGCCTAGGCGTCACCGCAATCGGTGCTTTGTGTGCGGCTCCCGGGGCTCTCGGAGGGGAGCGGCCGCTCCGCCCTGCAAGTTGGGCCGCAGCCCCGCGCGGCAACAGGCGGCCCCGCTCCTCTCTTCTGCGCGCCCCTCTCTCCCGCGTTCTTCTCTCCCGCGCTCCTCGCTCCTTGTCCGGGAAGCGCCGAGTTCCGCGCGATCGCGGGTGGGAAGAGCGTCCGGTGCGCAGCCTAGAGCCTGCAGCTCGGCTACTCCCCCGGCGCCCGGCCCCTTCGGGGTCCGCGCCGACCCGGGCTCCTCCTCCCCGGAGATGAAAGAGGGCTCTCTCGCCCTTGCCGCCTCTCCAGCGCTGCCGCCGCAGCCGCCGCCGCTCCAGTGCACATTCAAGTGGAAAATTTTCAGGAGTCAGCAGAAACATTGTGTCCAAAAAAGACTGAGTCGCAGTTACCACCAAACCCGGGAGCCGACTCTCCCTGGAAAACTTCCCCTCGGTAGGAAATACTGGGGGATTTGTTTGTTTATTGGAGGAGAAACGATCCCCAGGAGGGCAAAAAAATCTGGGGACACTTTTAGCCTTTGTTCGCGGCAGCACCACTTGTTTTCAAAGTCCAGAGGCCCGTTTGAAAGAAAGTTCAACTTCTAGGAGTTTTTTTTTAAATTTATTTCTTAAAAAAAAAATCAAAGCTACATTCTAAGTAGTCGAAAACAATGAGGGGTCCTCACTTATCTTCTTCTCACGAAAATAAAACCCAGACCACAGTTTTCCTCTCTTTTTAATCGTCTTTCTTTTTAAAGATTTATTTAAAGTTGAATGGTGTCACCCGTATAAAAATATTTATGAAACAATGAAATACCAGCCACCAGCGTTTCTCAGGAGGCTTGTTAAGTTCTTAGAAGCTGTCTGTGATTTAGAGAAATGCAAATTGATCTCAGTCAGCGCTGGAAACTTACGGACAGATATTCCAGGAATCGGGAGCGTAGAAAGGCCGGGTTTTAAAATAGCTCATTTGAAAGGAGCCGAGGCCCTTGGGGCAAAAAGGTCTGTAAATACGATCAGATTTCAAAATAGTGAAAGGAAAATATTTCAATTCCTACAGATAATGCAAAGTAACAGAACTCAACCTCCTCCCCGCCTTGTGGCCTGGATTCGTTCTGGAAGTTTAGGTGGTCTGGTGGCTTCGGGTGTGCTAAGTACCTGCAGGTGGTTCCCCGGGTGGACAGATCCTTCCCGTTAGGGAGCCGCGATCTACCGGGAGCCAAGGGGTGGCTTGTCTGAGCAAGCCTGAGCTCTTGGGTGGGGGCTAATTTGCCTTGAGACTGGGGCTGGGAATAGTCCTCAGGCAGCACAGACTGTGCCAGGGGCTTCCGCCTTTCAGCCTAGTCTGCGCTTTTTTGTGAATAGCAGGATCTTTGGGCCCAGGCACATCTGAATGCTTATAAGGGTCAGACTTAGATCCAACTTTGGTAAGAATCTTTCCTCTTTAGAAGGAAACAGTAGAGCCAGTTACAGCGCGGCTCCGGAAAGACAAACACGTTTACTTGAACCTTTGTCGATAGCAGGGTTTTGAATTGTTGGTGATTTTAGGGGAAAGGCTTATTTTTCTAATCTCCGTATTTCCATAAATGGTCACAAGATATTTTTGTGTAGTATTTCTTTGGATGTGTAACTGTGCTGCACTCTCAGGTTTCAGGTTTTCAACAGTTTTACAATTCTTTTATTTGTTGTTGGTATAAAAAAATGAACTGATAAGCTGTCTCCGTTACTGGGTCTTGCTGATGTCCTCAGTAAAACCATTTTATTTTCAGTTTAATGGCGAGTATTGTTTAAGCTGCAGACTTAGGGAAATATTAGAATACTTTTCATTTTTTTTTTAAACAAGTTGAAACAAAGCCAGAGAAACACTTTGCCTTTACAAAAGAGTTAAAAAAAGGGGGGGGGAGGCTAGAATCTTTGTGTGAGTTCCTCCTTCCTAGGGTTCTTTATACACTCTGGACACACTCTGGGATTATTGGAAGTTTTGCACAAGCAAAGGCCAGGACTTATGTATATAGTTAGTGACCTTTAATCTGAAGCAGGCAGACATCCTAGCATAGTTCCTGACCCAGGCTGCAGGAACTCTGAATGAGTAACTCTCGCTTGTTTTGTGGTACAGTGTGCGCTTCCCCGCATTGTGAAAGGGTGGGAGCGGGCTTTCAAGGGTCACCTGGTGGGGAGTCAGCTTTCTGTCCCTCCTGCTTTCTCTCCCCCCATTTACTGTATACAGCTGGAATCAGATGTTCACATACTCACTTTGGGTGCTGGCATCTTCTGATTAGGGAAGAAGGCAGAAAAGAAAAAAAATGAGTTCATTAGTGCATAACCAGTTTTGATTTTAGTTGGTTCTGATATACGCAGACAGAGATCTAAGAAGGCGTATCTTCATGGGACTATCTGGGGAGGAATATCCTTGTAGTCACTGGTCCGGGCTGCGTTTGGCATCATACTGTCTGTGGACAAGTATGTAACAAGAGCAGTTGAGAGACGGGAGACCCCAAACATGAGACAGGCCATTAGCACCACCAGGGAGTTGCCTGCTTTGGAAATGGATAGATCCCCTCCGCCCCTAATCCGTGGCGATTGTTCGAGAAGAGCCTGGACATCTGTAGGATTGTTTTCCTCTTTAATCTCATGTGTTATGGGTTAATTGTGAGCGTAATTCTACTGCTGGCAAATGGAAATTGTGATGGTGTCTTATCACTGCGGAGGTCGGCACAGATAACTGTGTATGATCCGGTGGGCCTAAAAATAATGACCCTAGCCACGCAGAAAAATTAGAGCTCTCACTTCGAAGCTACCATTTTTGATGCTTGATTCTGTTCTCCAGTAAAGGGAATATGAAAGCAGAAAAAAGTATACATGTGTATTTCTGAGTTAGAGTTGTGCCGAATCTGTTGAGTGATAAAACTCTGAGTAGAGTCTGACCCCCAGCCCCCAGAGGTTTAAGAAATACTGACTAAAACAAGTGCTCACCCAGTTTTCTCCCCTAAGCCGCAAGAAGACATTGTTTTTGTTAATCAAGGCAGGCCCAGCTTCTCTTTCAGAATTCAGTGCCTGGAATTGTAGGCTGCTTATGCGCTACATCTGACTGAACTCAGCACGAAAAATACATTGTTGCTCCACCCTCATAGGTTAACCTAGGATGTGCTTGGCTGTCTGGGCATTGGTGATGGCTGCCACCATGTTTTGTATGGTTTTCCTGTTTCCTTTTTTTCCTATATATGTTTCCACCATGTTTTCCTGTTGCCTTTTCTTAGCCGTAGTGCCTGTAGCTCATCTCTTTTGAAGTTGGGACCTAAGTCATGTAGTATGGATATGCTTTGATTCATATTCATCAAGGTACAGGATCAAATTGGGTCTGTCCTTAGCGGCGTCACACTAATCTAGACCCCGTTGTGTGGCAGCTGTTATGCCTCTCTGAACAGGGTATTCCACCCTTCTCGCTTCCAGGGCATAGTGTGTAATGCTGGAATATTTTGTTTCTCCGTTTTTTTGGACGGTTTTTGTTTAGTTTCAAAGCTGTGAACCTAGTTGCCAGTCCTTCGAGGCTCTTTTTTATGGGCTTCCTTAGTGCTGTCCCATGTTTGAACTTGAGGTTGAAATGTGATCATTTCTTCAGAAATCTTCAGTCTTTGCAGTGGGGCAGAGTAGGAGAATTTTGAAATGTGCATTTTCTTTTTTTACTTGGTCCAAGTGAATGGTAAGTCTTGGTTTTGCAGGGCAAGGATTGAGTCAGTGTTTCCCATGGGGTGGGCTTCTCTCAGTTCCCAAGGTCCCATTTTGTTCACTTATGTAGTTGGGTGTCTCAGGGTGGTTTACACACACACACACACACACACACACACACACACACACACACGTCTCTCTTCTGATTGGATAATGGGATAGCTCTTTAGAGAAGCTGTCTTTTCAGTTTCGTGACAGCCTAAGGGAGGGCTCTGCACCCCACCACCCCTATTCCAAGCTGATATTTGTTCTGGTGCTTTCTACCTCCTTTCCATATTCACCCTAGTCTTCAAGGCTCTGTCCTGTGATTTCATTAGCTTTTTTTTTTTTTCTCATTTTGAAGCTGATTCTATGCAGCTGATTTTCATCCTACTGTATAGTGGAGGATGATCCGGAACTCATGATCCTCCTGCTTCTTTTGTGCAAATTCTGGATTACAGGCTGGGTCGGTTTATAGCCTTGCTTGGGACCAGACCCCGGGCCTCATGCATGATAGGGAACCCATGTAACAACTGAGCCTTATTGTCAACCCTGTATTAACTTTTTTTTAATTGGGAAAGATGGTGTTGGAAAATGAGCTTAGACTTAAATGTGGACTAATTCACTGAGATTAAGCATCCGCCTCTGCAGGGGGACGTTCTGGAGACCCAGGATCTGGCGGGTTGAGATGCACAGGCAGAGGACTAGCTCTGAGAGAACCCGGCAGCACTGATCGGTCCTGAAAAACTGCTGCTCATGGCGGGAAATGCTAATTATGTGAGAACGCACTGAACTTATATTCTCTGGAATGAACTTTTTGAAAAAAAATACATCACTGTACCGCCTTTTAAAAAAATATAGGCACAGCATTCTAATTATCATAATTCAGTTCAGCTTTGCTCTTGGATGGAGTTCAAGTGTAATCTCAATTTAACTTGGAAGTTTTTTTTTTTTTTTTTTTAAATCTGAGAATGTTTTAGAAAATTTGAGAAGTTCATCCAAGACTGTTGTCGACTTAGGTGTGGGGATGGCGGTGGGCAGACAAAACCAGTGTTCACTTTGTAGTAGTTCTGCTGTGGGTGTTGAGGGGGAGCCTTCTGCCTCCATTTTTGCTTTCAGTCACCTCGGGGACTGTCACCTGATGCTACAGCTGCAGCGTTCTCACTGCAAACCAGTGTCTTTTCTCTAATAGATAGTCAATTAGATAAATGAATATTT